CGCTCTAGGTCCATCATAGAATAGGACGGCATAATGGGATACATTTCAAAGTGTAATTCAATGCGGGATTCGAACTTTGATAGTTAACAGTATAATCTCTACATATTCGAGACCCACTGGGGGTGCTGATGAGGTGAATTGAGGCGAGGTCAAAATTGCAGTCTATTCGGGATGAGAATACCTTTTGGGATCACTTTGATAAAATTCAACTGACAGTCCTTCATCACCTTAAACGAAATAGGTGATAGTCTCGAAACCATTTTTACTAACGAATAATAATGGCTTCTATGGCAAATATTTTCCACATTTCGGGCTATACCTCTTTGCTGTGATGGGCTACAAAAATGTGATGACAGTGAACCATTCGCCCGCACGACCTGTCCTCGCGATTGCCCATCAAAATGGGCTCGGCGCTGTGCTCGCCAGGTACCAGTTGGTCGCAGGCCCGATCCGTCTGTCGTTGAGGTCAATTGCTGTAACAGTAGCCAGCAGTGGTGGCTCAATCACGTGTGAAACTGGGGCTGGTTTTGGGCAAGCTAGTTGCCACAGTCCCACAGCCGGTCTAGAGGTTCATACAAAAGCCGGAAAAGAAAAAGGGTATTTAGGCCCATGTGTAACGTGAGGAATGGAGACTATGAGAGGACAGATGGATAGAAGCGAGCCGAGCTGGTGAGGTGGACGAGGAAGTAGGACGAGTGGATAAGGCAGAAATTGCGAGACACTCATATTCACTGAATGCAACTGAGTCCAGATACTGTTCTGCTCGACAAGCGACTCCCTCTTTGCAACCTTCTTCACCTTTGCTCTTCTCACCTCTTGCCACTTCTCTTTTTTCACTCAGAAACCTGAAGCCTTGCTAATTGCGTCTTCTCGTCCCACCCATTTTAGACAGCCTCTCTTTGATGGCTTGAGCTGTCCAACCTTGTGACTTCTCACTGCACAGCTCTGACGAGCCGGCCTGCTCAAGTAGTCTTATTCACGCTCCACTGGCCGGGATTCAGACCATCTAAAAAGCTCACCTCTTTTCAAATGTGAGCAAACAGTACTCAACACTTGTCTTCATTTTGATGAGTTTGCAAGTGTGCTTTTGTGCAGGTGTTCCTCTCTTACCGACCGTCAGACGGTGCCGAGCCAGCCAGTCTCCAGCTTCGACCTTGAAGCACTACAACTCTGACCACCTCCAGTTGCTAAGCTCATCTGTATGTACTCGAGCTCAGGCCACAAGTGCTTGGCCATAAGTGCCAATTTTATAGACAGTTTTGATGAAAAGGTAGCAAATGTGTAGTAAAAGTGGGTATGCTCCGTTTGAAAGGTCATCCAGGCAGCAGGTCACCTTCAAGATCCTGTCGCCTGACCAAGCACAGATCATCCTTTTTCAGAAGGGCCGTTGCAAGTAGTCAACTCTGCCATTGAAAGTTATTGATAGGGAAATTAAAACTTGCCTTCCTCCTTTCAGACAAACCAATAAGCTCTGGCTGTTCAGTATTGCTCTGTATCGTTTTGTTGCTAAGGTAGTGTTGTCTTAGCTTATAGCATCATCAACTTGCACTTATGTCTTCAAATGTGGCAAAACTTGAATAGAAAGCGGAGAGGAGGGCGAATCCACGCGTCAGATACATCAAGGGAGCCATTAAGTGGGAGTATGCATGGAATGTTGGAATGAAGATGCTCACGAAAGTTAGTGTCCGGATGGAATCCGAGTGAAATGCAATGCATTCTCTTTACTTCATCGTAGTGCAGTACAGAAACCAGTCGAAACTGTTGTGTCATTTGAGCATAATTTTCCTTTAGGCTAAATATGAAGTCTAGAAGTAACTGCGCCGAGGAGCATCGTTGCTGTGAAAGGAAAAAATCATATGCCTGTAAGAAATACCATGATTAGATTTTCTCATGTAAGGATATGCACCAACCCAATGATTGGAAAAATAGGTGACTAGATATACATATGCACTTATATATATTTAAATATACATGCACGTAGTGGTTAATTGAGTAGGCATGGAAGGATAAATAAGTTAGCAGAAACACATTTATAGGTAAGAGGTGGGATGGCGAAAGTCCGATGCAGACTTGTGAAAACAGCCTTCACCGAGCAAGAGACTAGAGTATAGATGAACGAAGAAAGGGTCAACTTAATATCCGGGCTGGTCATCAATTCTGAATTTGTATTTTTTAACAATCTGCAGAAAATTTAATCTCATCGCTGCCCCGAAAGGCTCACTCAGAAGGTATAAGTTCACAAAGGCCTGACAACTGTTTAGTTGAATGGTGTCGGCTGGAATTGAATTTCTTTAAAGCTCCATCGAGATCTACCAGCCTGTTTACAAAAAGTCAGCCTAGGACGCACTGGGAAGGATAGTATACGGTAGTCGATTGTCGAGATGCACGTTTGTACATGTAACTGCTAGGCTTAGAAAAAAATGGACGCCAGTTTGTTGATGTTGAATAGCTTCTAATTCCATTTCATAAATAGGTTTTCGAGACTACCAATAGATCTAATATGAGAGTTATATTCACCCTATTTCCATTAAAGTGATGAAAGACTGGCAGTTGAAGTTGCCCATAATCACATAAGTAGGCCTTGTGTTTCCATTCGATGCCAAATGGCCTTGCCTCCCAAAAGGCTATATGAAATTGAATGTAAATATGTGGCCTACTCATGTGATTATGGGCAACTTCAACTGCCAGGCTTTCATCAGCTTAATCGAAATAGGGTGAATAGAACTCGTACACCTTCATCTTCTTCTTCCGATCCCGCCTTGGTTCAGCCAAACTGACCATTACCTACAGAGTGCTTGCTCACAGTTAGCGGATCATATGGCCAGATGTGAGAGCGAGAGCAGGAATACCCAGTTCAACAACAACGTCAAAAGGATAAAATTCACAAAATAAAGGATGTATGAATATGAGGTTACGAAGGTAATGCTCCAAGTAGCACCGTTGCTGTAAAAGAAAAAATTATATGCCTATAATAGATGCCATAATTAGATTTTCTCATGTAAGAGCATGCACCCACCCAACAACTAGATTAATATATGATTAGATATACATATATACGTATATGTATATATGTAGTGGTTTATTGAATGGGCATAGAAGATAGATAAATGAGCAAAAATACATTTGGAGAAGATAGTGAATAACAAACTGCATTTACCAACGTAAGTATAGGGAGATTAATTGGAGATTGTATGGATGGTTATTGCAGAGATGGAGCCATGTAACTACATGAATAAGGATTGATAAACAGTAGGAATAAAGGTATGGAGATGTATTTTTCCTATAAAAGAACTTTAACTTTAATGGATTCACAAGGCACGAAGGGCCCAATTTAAGCGTTCTTACCGTTGCAACCGATACTGCATTGTTTGATAAACGAACTGACCACTTGATTTCCTCTAGTAACATATGCAGCCTCTTGGCTCTATAGCAGTCTAGGCGAAAACATATCTTATTCATTATTCTGGCCCCACTCAGCCTCCGAGGGGTCAAGTCCGATGATGAATATAGTTTGGCGCTGTAGCTAAGTCAGTAAATGTCTTTGCCAATCTATAAATCGGACCTATTCCGTTATGGCCGGTTGGCATTACGCTACTGACCTTATGGCTTGGGGACTTTGAAAAACCGGGCCCATAGGTAGGCGTCCATAAGGTCTGCTTACCTTCTGCTTCCTAAAGAAAACGGAGCCAACCTTGGAGGTATCCTCCTCTTTTATCCTCCTCCAGGCTCTGCATCAGGGGGTTTCTTTTGTTGCCACGCTGCAAGCCACCTTCTGCTGCATACCAAATACTTTCAAAGTATGCATCGCAGATAGATTTTATGATCGTATGGGTAATAAAAAAACACCTACTTGTATTTTTCTTTTGCAGTGAGCAAACGCTGCATCAAAGACATATCCTCTGAGGCCGTTGGTTCAGTACTCCACGACCCGCCTGGCGAAAATAAAATATACGGCATGTTGGTGATCAGTTGAATTAAGATATTAAACCACCCTGAGAATTCGTTGTCATCGAAACCCTTAAATGACAGCAAAAGTTGTGTGAACTGGGCCAAAATAAGGGCCAAAATTAAAAATTGCCTCTTTCGAACGAAACTCTACAGATGCACAAGTAACTTGTAAAAATAAGTTTCCATTAATCGACAGCAAATCGAGGCGAGTATCTCATCCCAATATCCTTTAGCTTCCACTTTTAATACTCTCACAAGATTCAGTAGTGCAGGTAAATGAGAATAAAGCAGAACTGGTTTTGAATAAATTTCCTTGGCTAGTATTGCTATGATGCATATAATCTCATTGGGATTCATTCAAAACAGACTGAGCTTTTAGCTTTCATACCACGTGCTAGTCATCTTCAGAGCTGGATCTCACTCTTACAAAATGTCTATCCATCACAAATTTAAGACGACAAACATTTTCATAACAAAAACCAAGAAGAATGATTTAGTTGGTCCATCTTCTCGTCAATCGAAGCGTTTGTGTACTTGCTTTCGGGTATGTATGTATACGCCTACTTAATTATGGATAAAACCTTCAGTGATAACGCAGAGTACTTTGAAGAAAGCTTAAAGTATGCTCATGGTAATCAGGGTTTAGCAAACTAAAGAAAAAAATGAATTCATGTACATAATCTTAAACTTCCGTCTGGTTGGGTCGTCGAGCCCAAGAGATGAGTAGAACGAAGGTCTGATCCATCCCTAAACCAACTATTTGAGCCACCTTTTTTAGTGAAGAATACAACGCCTCCATCCACAAGTCTATTAATTTATCGAAATAAGATCACGAAGTATACAAACATAAATAAG